TATTCAGCGCATTTTTTAGACGGACAAATATGACTGCAGCACTCGCATCTCACAGAAGAGATGTATAGAAAGCCATGCAAAGTTAAGACAGTTTAAACTTTTAGAAAACACGTCACAAATTTGTGGAGGTTTATTCCTTTTCACTGCGTCTCATATGTTTTTAAATGCAGTCTGTGTGAATGGTGTTTCGGCTCTTTGGATTAAGCAATGCATAAATACATGATGCTGTTTTGTTCATAATTGTTTATGCAATTTACGAAATTATATTTGATTTTTATGAGTTAATTTAGACGTAAAGCACGTTTTTATAGAGTTACTTGCTAAATGCACTGCATTATTTTGCTCATTGCGCCCTCGGGAGACAATTAGACCTATACAATAAAGACCTATTTAATCTGCATATAAAACATTAGAAATGAGATATTTGTTTGGTTGTTAAAACAAAAAATATTCGTTGTTTGTCTCAATAAATTGTGTTAATTATAAATACAGTGGTTAAATTTAAAAAAAATTCTATTGCTTTTTGTTTTAAAAAAGGTTATAAAAAATGTCAATAATTATCGATACCGAACAATATGAAACATTATATAATTGATACATTTTTTAGCTATATCGCCCAGCCCTACGCTCCACTCACATAGTTTTCCATTAAATTATATTATATTTGTCCCAAATTGTTGTTCGTATGTATAATGACTTCACACTAGGCTGGAAGATTTTGTATTGTGCATTTTTCAGCTAAATGTTTTTCTAATAAAGTCTGTATGCTTCATATAGAGAGCTACAGTACAGATCGCGCTTCCTCTTTTCTTTTTGCTTCAACTTCAAACTCATCGACGCCACTTTGTTCATTCCTGTAGTGAACCTTTGCCTGTTTAGTGATTAAATAAACTGTACTGGACAGCCTCTTGAACTGAACACAATGCGTCCGTGAGAGTGTATACATAAAATATACATACGTATGAATTTCAGTGATATGGCCTTTGTGTAGATGTTTAAACATGGCCATTTTTAAGAATGACTGTTTGGATTTATATGAGATGATAACACTTTACAATTTGGAAGATTCCATTCGTAACATTACTAAGGTTAATACAAGCTGTAGAAGTATTGTGGCTTGTTATAGTGTGTTAATTTCAATACCAACACATTTTAAATTTCAAAGTTGCATCTGTTAACATTAGTTAATGAACTATGAACTAACATTAATGATCAATTTATAATTAATATTTCATATTTTTTATATATTTTTATTCTATTTAAAAAGCATGGTTCAGTACTTTTTTTGGAATAAACTTCAGCACTATTTAGTTTTCATTCAGTATCCATTTTAAAAACTATCAGTTGATTAATCGGTTATTGGCCAGTGTGGTCCAACCTAGCTATCGGTATCGGTAAAATCCACTATCGGTCGACCTCTAATTTTAATACTTTGGCCCAAACAACAGTCTGGACAAGATGATAGTTGCCAAAAGTTATAGCCAGTGTGCAGATTTTGAGCAGTCAAAGTGTAATCATTTATGTTGGCAAGTGTATGATGCCTAGTGTGTTCAGATTTAAAAGTCGTGGTGTACTCCAGCCTTTTCCCACAACTTGCACATTATTTCCTGTGGCAGCTATACAAACCCAAAGCATAACTTAAAATGTTGTTCTTTTCATCACATTGGTTCCCCTTTTTTTCTTTAACATACTTTTGACTGCAGCCAATTAAATTCAAGAATCAAAAAGGTTCTGGGGTAGTGGATCAGCGGAAGAGTGTTTTTTTTAAATGAATTCATTTAATGAATCCATGCCATTTGTGAACTTACAGAGCACATTGTTGGGTCTGCAAATAGAAAAACTATACTCACACAACTGATTCTTCATACTGAGCAGCACAGAGTTCATTTGGGCTTTAGAGGCGTACAGCTTGTTGATAGCTTTCTTTGAGTGAATCATCTCTTTGGCGAGGATGATGCATACATCTTTCTGTCCCTTCTTTGCAGCATCTTTGATCGATCTCTTCACCTTCTCCTCCTCTCTCTGAATATCTTTGGAAAAAATATACAATATACACAATTACAACTTCTGTTAAGTACAGTTACCTAAGTGAATTTCATTTAAAATTATTTACAATTATATTACATTATTACAACAGACTGCAATTTGTCAAAATGACAATTACCGGTGTAATATGACCTCACCTCGAATCTGTCTGTCAATAACCCTCATTTCTTTTCTGATTTTCAGAGACCATTCATTGATCTATAGAAAAGAGATGAAGACAGCATGAGATTGAAATTTACCTACACACGTGTAAAGGCGATTTTATGATGTTGGTTCTCATAACAACCCACGTACAGACCACAGAATTAAACCAAACTTTTTAAAGTACCTCGTTTAAAATGGCATTACGTAATACAACATGTTACCAACAAGTAGGGCCTATGACAAGCGAGCTATTTATAGGCCTGCTATTATTTACAATGGAACATTTAATAAAAACCCTTAACTCCCGAATCGATGTTTCACTTACAAGGTCCTTCGGTGGTTTCTCTTGCGTTTTTCCAAAAAGCCCCATTTTAAACTTGTAAATTAGATAGCTGAACAGCGACGAGCTCGATCAAAATAGTACATTAAAAGTCCACTTCCTGATTCCAGCCTCTCGACGGATGACAACATAGGGAATTTCCGGTTATGGTAAGTATATTTACTTTTCATAATAAAAGTCCACCTTGAACTGTATTTTCCGTTATTATTAACACATAATCTTTTTAATGTTTGTTATGTCGAAATAGACAGTGATTGACAAATAAACATTTTTTTTCATACGTATACAATTATATAAATACATAAAACATATTTGATTATTTATTTATGTACTTATTTATAAATAAAGTAGGCTAATAGGACAGTGATGTGAACAGTGAACATCAATTAGGAAGCTAAATACTTTTTAAGCTCATTTGTTTCTCTTTGTACTCACTCACTGTGTTCTGTCTCATGTGTGTGGCTCATTCATTGGAAAAGGCAAAGTCTTATTAAGGCTGTTCTATAGTCTTTGGAAAAGGCTTTCACAACTGTGCTGCTGAACCAAGAGTGCAGAGCGCCCCCTTAATTGAGAGACCCTTTTGCTCTCACCAGGCTTTCAACATCTGAAATGATAATCTGATTCTTACAGGCAAGAATTGTGATGAGGCACAGCTAAACTGCAAAACAAAAACAAAAAAAAATGCACTCCTGATAAGGATAAGCATATTTAATAAAACGTATTAACACATTCATTTGACCCCGTAATGAAAAACAGTTCATAAAAATAATAAAATAAAAACTGATTCATAAACCCACAACGCCTTTCTTTAATATGAAAATCCTTTCAGTTATAATAAAATATGTTCGATCATAAAGTTTCAGTATTAAATATATCCTTTTATTTATTTATTTTAATCACCAAATAATAAACCCATTTGGAAACGTCTTCTTTTAACATGAAAATAATAACCTCCCCTCAGAGTCAGATATTTTCGATTATAAAGATATAATAATGTCCTTGAATTATTGCTATAATTGCTGGTTATTGATTTATGCAGTGATGGACCCCTGACTCTCTCACAGGTCGCTGAACTGCACGGTCATTCCCAGTGAGCTTCTTACGCCAGGTTCTAGATTCTTCGTCCTTATCTGGGACGCTGCGCCAATCAAACTGCTGGTTAGCGTCCAGTAGCCAATCAGAACCAGCCGTGGGCGGGGCTTGGCTGAATTCCAGTCTCTTGACAAATGCGCAGGTTTACCCATATTGCCGGTTGACAATATCAGTGGAGGCTGCGAGAATGCAGTAGAAGCGTTCTCTGCTAGGATTAGGGAGGAAGAATTATCTATTATCTATCTAAAGCCCGATTTACAATAATAGCGAGTAATACTTCTAGCTCGGTTACAGGCGCACTCAGCACATACTGTAGAATAGGGGTGTTGTGTTCTCACCCAGCTGCACTGTTAAGACCGGAGGTGTTAAGAATAAAGAAATAAGGCCTGAACATGTCTGTGGTGGGAATTGATGTGGGTTTCCAGAACTGTTACATCGCTGTTGCCAGGAGCGGCGGCATTGAAACCATTGCAAATGAATACAGTGACAGATGCACTCCGTAAGTATAGCATTGCCATCCCTGTAAAATGATGCTGTGTGTTGTTACGCAACGTTTGCTGTTGCCTAGCTGGCCGTGTTCCCGACCCAGTGCATTTTCCTCCTGCGACTGTCAGTTTTGTCCGAAAGATGCTAAGCCCCTCGCGCATCTCCATTTTGTATGAATTTCATCAGTTTAACCGCTGTGTGAGTCTTGACAGTGTGTTCTACGCCCTGAAACGTGTCTGAGAGAAAAGCTCTTCTTTTGTGTCTTTATTTGTCCAATTGGCTTATTATTACGAGAACGCCGAGGCTGCATTTCTTAGTCATGTGAATAAGAGACATGCTCGGCGTAATTCCCGCCTGTCATCCACACGCTCAGTCGCTCGTGAAATGGATCAGAATGGCTGTTTGTGGCTTTTCGCGAGTTCAAAACTGCATGTCTCGCACGAGCATGGCACGTGAACGGTATAATCCGACACCCTGCATGCGCTGAGTCCACGAGACGGGGACCGCGGAGTCGTGTTCTCTATAGACGAATCCACACTCTCTCGTTTTGGGCGCGGCGACACATGCAATCAAAATTAGATGCTGTAAAACTAGATATGTTTTTGGAAAATTTTCATACGCGGGCTTTTGGACCATTGTCCTAAAAGGAAATCACAATTGAGGTCACTGCGGTGCTTACTCAAATCGAATTATGTTGTTAGCGCATCCTCAGTTTCTCCTGCAACACTAGTTACAGATCACACTGATTCTTGAAATATGGGACATAGGACAATTAACCATGGTTTTACTACATATAAATCCAAACAAACATGGTTACTATAGTTAAACCATGGTAACCACAAATTAACCATGGGTTTGCAACACTAACCATAGTTTAACCATGGTATTTGTTGTAAAACTGTGGTTATACAAATGGTAATCAATACGCCATAAAACCATGGTTACTACACTTTTACTGTAATAAAACCATGGTTAATTTTCGTAAGGTATGTCCCACAACTTTACCTGCCATTGGTTTTAATATAGCAACATTTGCACTGAGATTAATCAGAGATGATGGCTAGAATGTTCTTTACACAAATGTAGCTTTCATTTGATTTTCTTTTCATTTTATTAAAATTATGACATTATATGACAAAAAACATCAGCCTTCACACCATAACTCAATACTTCATGTTGATTAATCTATCTATCTATCTGTCTATCTATCTATCTATCTATCTATCTATCTATCAATATTAAACATTTTCTGTCTGGTTGTGACAATCCAATAGATGGGACTGAAAAAGAGTTTGAAACATCATGTGGTCACAATCTATTCAAGTGAATTAATATTTCACACATTATTGCATTTGATGTTGGCTAGTATTGATTGCTACTATAGCAAACACAGATTTTGTGAAAAAATAGAAGAAGCACGAGGTTGCATCCAAACATTGATTGAACATGTTGAACAGCTTAATCCAAATGAATTGAAACAAGTTAGATTTTTTTCAGTTTGAAGCCTGTTTAATTCCACTAATAATTTCCACTATTATAATTCTAGTGGTTCTAAAATGCAGAAACCTTGCTGCCTCTTATAAGAAATCATATTAAAGACCTCCAGCTTCTAGCAGTCTTGATATGCCTTTTCAAATCTCAAAAGCTTATTTCACACCATAACATGGTTTGCGACTCAGGAAGACTTGTGATAAGCACTAGTGAAGATGCTGTCCAAGGTGCTGATCCACACCCTCCTCATCCAGGTTCTAGAATGCATCGGATTGGAAATAAAATATGGAGGGTGTTGTCACAATGTATGATACATTTATGAACATGTCATCTTTTCCAACAGAGCATGCATTTCTCTGGCCTCTAAAAACCGGACCATTGGAAATGCTGCTAAAAGTCAGGTACGAAATGCTGTTAATTTCATGCTTTCTAATTTCTTAAACCTTTACAATATTTGCTAATCATAAAATTAGGTGGGATATTAACCAATAAACATGCCTCCTACAGATCACAACTAACTTTAAGAACACGGTTCACGGCTTTAAGAAGTTTCACGGCCGAGCGGTTGATGACCAATTTGTTCAAGGGGAAAAATCCAAGTTGCCTTACAACCTTCACAAACTGGACAATGGCAGCACTGGAATAAAGGTGCTATAATGTGTTTTGCCACCACTTTGAAAACTATTTTGCTATTGTAGACCACTGTCCCAAAAATCATGTTTTGGACACAAAAAAAAAAAATGCAAAAAATGCATAGACAAAACATGAGTAGTTGTGTGCATTTTAATTCTTTCAGGAAAACAGTGTTTTCAAGAATATTGCAAAAAGCAATAGTGTGAAAGTTCTAGAATGTTAAACATGCAAGAGATCATCTTACACACACATTGCATTGTCATAGGTACGTTATCTGAATGAGGACAAGGTGTTTACCATCGAGCAGATGACTGCCATGTTGCTCACCAAGCTGAAAGAAACTTCTGAGCATGCCTTGAAGAAGCCTGTGGTGGACTGTGTGATATCTGTGAGTGCTTCTAAATCATTGAACCTAGCATATTTCTGCTAGTGCTCTTGACATGCCTGTCATCTCTTTGACATGTTTGGGTTTTCTCTAGGTCCCCAGCTTCTTTACGGATGTAGAAAGGAGATCCCTGATGGACGCAACTCAGATTGCTGGGCTGAACTGCTTGAGGCTGATTAATGACACAACAGCAGGTCAGCAAAATTAAGCTGTTGATTTTTTTGGTAACACTTTAGAATAGGGAACACTTATTCACTATTAACTACGACTTTTCCCTCAATAAATTCCTAATTTGCTGCTTATTAATAGTTAGAAAGGTAGTTGTTAAATGTAGGTATTGGGTAGGATTAGGGATGTAGAATAAGGTCATGTAGAATAAGGCATTTATGTGCTTAATTAGTAGCTTAATTCTAGTAATATGCATGCTAATAAGCAACTTGTTAAGAGACCCTAAAATAAAGTGTTACCATTTTTTTTTAAAATGTTGTCATTATCTAACTAAACAGAAAATGGTTACCTAAAAATGGTAGCATCTAAACGAATTGGTTTTATTTAAGTCAAAAATACATTGATTTATACCAACAAAACTAATGTTTACGCATTAAATCAGGTAGAAATAGCTCTTTAAAGGGATAGTTCACCCAAACATGAAAATTTGATGTTAATTTACATGTAGGTGACTTTTTTCTTCAGTAGAACAGTAAAGAAGATTTTTATCTGAAACCATGGTCCTTGGTGATTCTTAAATGCAAGTCAACGGCTACCGTCCCTTGAGAGTAAAAAATAAAATCATGTACAGGCAACACCGTGGCTTGTGATGATATATTGAGGTCTCATGATGAAGCAAAACGATCAGTCTGTTCAAGAAACAGAACATTATTTACACCATAACTACCTGAAATCCATAGCCTCAGATGTCCAGTTTGTGAACAGTTGGTTCTTTTTAGTGAACTTGATAACCCAGTTCACTAAATCGGACTAAACCATCTGAAACAGTTTGCGGCTCAAACAGCACAGATCTACAAGTTACTTAATCAAAACA